GCTTTCATCGTGGACACTAGTAATGTGGTTAATTTTAACTAAAACTAATTTAAACCTATTATTTAGGTTTAATGTATAATGAAGTAGTGACACACTGGTATAAACCTGCTCAGATGATTCTTCTGTGCATTGTTGCATGGAGTATGTTTTGCTACCTTACTCTGCATGCATACTTCCTGCTTTTCCAAGGATCACACGGACTGCTTTAACCAGTGTTTTTCCCCTTACTGTGGAACACTAAATTAGTGTGTGGTAGTGTAAAATTCAAGTTCTGGACTCCTTCAAAGTTAAATGTACGTCTATCCCAGTATTATGTGGCAATTAGCTGGAGTCTCAGACAACCTTTAGTATGTGTTGAATTAAAGAGCTTGAGGGGGTCTGGGGGTAGAGTAGTCATTAATTTACCTTGCGTGCTGCACATTTGGAAATTTCTTTTGGATATAAAACTAATGCAGCTTGTGATTTTGTGTTCAAATCTTCCCTGTGGCACACTGTTGAAAGCAAAGCATTGTCCTAACAAGTACAGATGGTCAACATCTGTCGGAGCCAGCATCTGTTTAGTGTGTGCACATCCGTTCCCTAACCCTCCTACAATCTCAGGTTGGTCCTCAAGCAGTTCAGTGCCACTTCAGTTGTGTGTACGTATCTCATAACGGCCACCAACACCCCCCCACCCCCCCGGTCTTCGGGGTGGGGGGGTGGGGGGTGCTTCTTTGGCTTCTCCTTCAAAGCCAGGCAGACTTCCTGAAGGCTCTGGAGGAACCAGGTCACACTGAGATCAGAGACTACTGTTCTGCCTCTCACCTCCCAGTCCACCCCCACATTTTATGCATATAAACAGAAGCCTAGTTGTTTCTACCACAAAAGTTTCCAGTAATGGATATAAAAAGTGTATTCATGAAGTGAATATGTGATGTGTCAAAGTGAGGAAAAAATTTCCCCCAAGGAAGACCCATCATTGTTTTCAAAAGGCTCGTCATTTTCCAAGTTGCTGGGCGAGCGGCTGTCCAACCCATGCATTACAGCTTCATTAGAATCTACTAATCATTGCTTTAAAGAGTGCTGAATCTGCCCTCCACTTACTCCACCCTTTAAGATTCAGGTCACAAACTGCAGGCCCATCATCTTCTCCTGCGCCCCACTTTACCAGAGGTTGAAGAGTAAAAGAACTGGCGAGACTATTTTCTGCCGCTTACCTCATGCCAGTGTGGCTTTTGTGTGCACCCGCTGCCACGTGCAAGTCAAAATTACAGCCTGCAGGCAGATGAGAAGGAAGGCGGGGGTGCCAAGCAGCGCTTACAGTCAAGGCCTTATCCCAGCCTAACCCCTACACACCCATCCATACACACTGATCTGGAGGCCTCCGGGGTTTGCTACCTTACTCACTTCTTCCTCAGTCTTTGATGGGGGACCTTGGTGCTTCGTCTTTGACTTCCATTAGTAGCCCGTTTTTGTTTCTGGCTAATTTAAGGGCCCTAATTTTTTTTTATTTTTTCCCCATTTGCTTTTATGTCCAGTTAAAATGAATTGAATTTAGGTCTCATGTTAAAGGTTTAGGATGGTTTGGCTCCATATCCCCCCTTAAGGTTTTTGTTTTTGCTGTTTTGGGTGTGGTTTTAGTCTGCGGACCTCCATTCATATTGTGATTAGTGATGGCTATTCATAAGTCGTGTGTGTGTGTGTGTGTGTGCTCCCAGCAAAGACCTCCCACTTTTCTTTTTTTACACCCCCTGTCCTTAATGTGGCGAGTCCTCCCAACTCCTGCTGGCCCACAGGCCTCATCTGGGGACAAAATAATGGTATGATGCTCAGGTCAGGCAATGGGAGTGTTTAAACAATGCAGACATCTGCTCTGCCATTTCTTTAAGCTTTAACGTCTGATCCCGTTATGTCCTGTGGTAAATATTACAAACACAACTGGTGGCTTGTTATGCTAAAGGCTTAGACTACTGTAGGACAAATTGACCTAACGTCCTTAAATCAATTGTTAAAATTGAATAGTTTTCATTTGATATTATTTCAATCTTAACATGTGATTCATGACCTGCCATTGTTTCTGTTCCTATCTAACCCAGCTTGTCGAAGCTGATGGTCGCTTGTCCTGAGCCTGGTTCTGCTAAAGGTTTCTTCCTCATGAGGGAGTTATTCCTTTCCACTGTTGCCTTCATACTTGCTCAAAATGAGATTTCTGCAATGGAGTTTAATTCAAAGCGGTCTGCTCCTCAGATAAATAACTTATTTTTGTATGACTTTCTGTTCAATGCCCTGAGATGACTTCTGCTGACTTGGTGCTTTTAAATACACTGAACTGAATGCATTTTTATTTTTGCAAATAAAAGGTGCTTGTATTTTTATAGTACAATATGTCAGTTGAGTAAATTATGACCTGCACTAAAAATGCTAACCTTTAACAAAGAAAATGTCTTAAGGGAGTTGTTTCATGTCTGAAATGAGATGAAGGAAAATGAAGTCAGTGTTGGAGTTATAATGGGCTCCTTAGCCTACGAGCGCTCCCTTCATAAAACACTGCCTCATGAGATTCTCTGCAGTTTGTTTTTAAGGTCCGCAAAGCAATTATTCACAGAAAATATACCTAGAAAGGCTATAAAGTTAAAAGTAAAGATTACTCTGCTTTGTTTTTTCATTTATTAAACTGAATTTTACTTTTTTTTTTTTTTTTTTTTCCCCTTAAGAATTTGTAAATGTATTAAGGAGTTACATTTGCACCAACTTGATGGAAGGCTATGGATGCCCCTCGTTACATTGGGTGCAGCCAGACCCTTGTCTGATGGAGAATACTTTGTGGTAAATGTGAATACATTCTGATCCAAAATGATATGATGGTGCAGAACCTCCATTAGCCATTATGTGGTGTAACTTAGCATTTCAGTCTGGATTTTATTCATCTGGTCACCTTTTGGTCGTATAGCTTCCTAGATGCCATCAGCCACTTTGGAAACTATGGGCCAATATTTGTTAATTTTTGAGTAAATTTTGGCAGCAGCCAGAACTTTGTTCTTTCAGTAATTTATCTACCTCATCCCAGCCCTTGTATTCACACCAAATCTTAACCATCTATCTATGGTGGTTTTGACAATAAGTAGATCAAGCTTTAACTGCACTCTGATAAACCAAACGCTCTTCTGTAGAAGTTACTCTTGTTTAAGACAAACTAGTTTTAAAGCTCATTGGTTTGAACCATGCTATATTCAAACATGGAGTAAACATGAGCTTGACAAGAGTAACTTTTTACAAATCCATTAGTCTTAAACCATAGCCAATGCTGGTTAGTGTTTCTCAAAAATCCCTGTGAGCAATGTGTGAATGTCAAAACATTCCCTTCTATGCTCATATCTAGTACAACGTATGCATACAAATACTTTATTAATGATGAGACCTGAGATTAAGGGTGCTCCCCGTTTCAGACTAGCACAAAAACCAAACTAGACATAGTTGAAAGACTTTTTTTTTTTTTTTTTTTTTAATTCATTCTTCCAGAATTACCTTGAGCTGCTTTTAATCTGTACACAATGAAAACTAAGATGATGCTTGTCAAAGATATTTATCAAGGATGGTTTTGAAGTCACCGGAGCTCGATTAATCTGTTTTTGCATGGCACTGGGGAGCTGCTTACTATTTCTTACAATTCAGCAGGAGAGTTCTTTTTCTTATCTTTTTAGGGTGGTTCTACATTTTGAAAAAAGTGCATTTTGAATCTACGGACCAGAGACTCAGATTTCACGGAGTTCAGTGCCTCTTTGTGTGGTATACAATTTCAAAACCTTTTTTTTTTTTTTTGTTCCAATTTACTAAATTTCTTAACATAAGATCTGTTAAGTGTGTTAACAAAAAAAAAAAAAAAAAAAAGGTGCTTTGCAATATTCTGTTTACCACCATAATATTCTGTTTACCACCATTAAACATTTGGCACATGAAAAATTTGGGCACGTGTCTAAAGAATGTCCTGTTTGAAAAATAGTTTTGAATACAGAAACTTTTTTTATTTAATTTTTTAATATAAACTGCCCAAAGTTCAAAAATCTTTAAGTTCCTCACAACAAACTCCTTCAAACCTTTTTTTATTTTTTTATTTTAATTTTTTTAATTTTTTTTTATATACATTTTACTGGGCACATCTAATTGTTCTAGTTTTGTGTTCTGGAATTTTATAAAGAAATGATTGCTCAAGGTATCCTTGCCCTTTACAGTTCCATATGTAAGGCCTATTATAATTACATTTCCAGACGTGTGCAACAAAAGATTAAAAACATGATCTGGCCCACACACCACCTACAACCTCCTCCCAAATCCTCACAAGGTATTGTCTGCATAAAGGGAACAAATGAAACATTGTTCTGTGATGCAGTGGGGGTGTTACTGCAATAATGAGTTCCACTTTCCCATTGTGTAAGTGTCCCAGAATTCATGACGGTGCATTTTGTTTGTTCATATAACGCTATCCACCTTCATCATTTACTTGGCCATAAAGATTTGGCCATAGTCACTTGCAAAATAAATTATTCAAACATCTTCTCTAGAAAGGGGAAAACAAACTAAAAACAAGCATAAGGTTTTAGACAAAGCTAAGGAAATATGTGATTTAGACATGTCAAAGTTGTTTTTATGCTACAGCCTTTCCCATTTCTATATACCGGTAATCATTTAAGTGGCAATATTTACTTTAGTGGCCGTATTTGAGAGGCGCAGCAAGAAACTGTCATCCATTAAAGCCTAAACCAAAACATGACCTTTGGCAGTTTTGCAAATAAAGCAATAATTCACACCAGTGTAGTGGTGCGGTTGGGTGCAACATGTATTATAAAGCCACCTGCTTTTCGTCACAGAAGATGACCTGGTGCAACAGTGGTACAACTAGTCTGAAGATATTTAACCCAATCACATTTGACCTAAACTCCCCCATAATAAAATGGATACAATGAATAAAACGTGTGTAGATGCAGTTTAAAGACTTGTGTGTTTTCTCCTACTTTGTGTTCCAGCTATGCTTTGGCAGATGAAGCATACCGCTCACTGAGGGACCAAGACAAGGACCAGTGTATCCTCATTACAGGGGAAAGCGGAGCTGGAAAAACCGGTAAGGATTTTTTTTTTTTTTTTTTGTCATTTTGAAATACAATCTGTTCCGACAGCCTAGAAATGTTTGTCTTTTGGTTCACATTCCTGTTTTATCTTGGATATCTAGACTTTAAATTAAGGAACTTTATTTAGCTGGTTGTATATATTTAATTTGGATGTGATATTTTGTTGTTCACCTCACATGGTTTAGTGACCAATCTGAGAAGGATAAATTCTTCTTCACTAATGGGTATGGAGATGATTTGGCAAACTGTATTGGGACAATATACACTTGGATCTCTTACACTAAGTGGGAGGCTTCTGTAAAAGTGATGGTTGGGAAGAATTAACTTAACATCTGCACCATTACCACCACCACTGTGTCTTGGCGCCCAAATCTGATTCGGTTAGACTGGAAATGACAGTTCAGTCTACCCCAATAAACTGATTTTTAAACATAAATCTGATGTTTGTGCAGCCTGAGCAAAGTCAGTCATCCATCCTGCTGTTCACACGGACATGTTCATACCTTGGGACAAAATGATACCTTAATGCTGCTGCTTACTGTAACACATCTGTTCTGAGCAGCTATGTGAGGGGAAAAATATACTTGTAAAACATTATTTTCAGAAGTCCTTTTTTTTTTTTTTTTGTTTTTTATCTGCCCCTCCCCCCCGGAGGAAAAATCAGTCTTTTGGTGTTCTTTGTGGTGCTCTGTTCAACTTGCAGTCAAAACACCCCCCACCCCAAAGAACGAGGTCACATTGGAGGTTTGGATTGAATCAGCCAGACAATCTGAGGCTCGTTTCATTGGAGATCATGTTTGTGCATGAAACATGAAAGAAGCTGACCTGTGAGGGATGTAGTGGTAGATGTATCAAAACACCAGCAACACACTGTATTGATGTTATGGTTTTCTGGTTTATTCATATCCCATGCATCAAAAATTAAGCAACACCCATATTTTCTCGAGAGAACTTAAATTTCATACGTAAGCGTTTAACCAGAAGTAAAATCCCTCTAGGTAAAGGACATTTTTTTTACATCTTTGTTCTTGTTTTATTTTTGTGTTGCCATCCTTGGTAGCACTTCCCCTTGCCTTTAGAAATGCCTAGAGGGAAAGCTTTTTTTTCTTATGGTATAGTGCTCCTTTACATGTAATTAAAATTTCAAATTGGCAGTGCACAAAGAAGGAAAGAATACTTGAGACTTCTTCAATACACAATTATAAAATGTTGTCCTGAAGGGAAGTCCGAGATTGCCGTCATTGTATGTTCCCATGCCATGGTGAAATTAGTTCTCTCCATTTAACCCATTACACCTGGGATACACCCAGGTGGGGTAGTGGGCAGCTATGTAAGCACCCAGGGGTCAATTGAGGATTACTGGTAGAAGTCTTGCTCAGACACCACAACGTGTGGGAATGGCTTGGGCGCGAACCTGCGTCTTTCGTTGTCAAATTATTTTCTTGCTTAAATTTGACGCGACAACCTTTGTCAAATTTATCGCAATCCAGTGATGTTTTTGTTTTCAGATTAGCTGTTTGAGCTTCCATGATAGCCACTGGCTGGCACTTGGTTCACAATGAACGTCAGCAAATCTCCCAATAGCATGTTAGTAGCAAATAACAAAAACTAAGAAGTCGTGTTTGTAGAAAAAGCTGCTGTTGACTCTGCGTAGGACTTTCAGTTACCACAAATCATTAAAAAATGTCTTTGAAATGTAGTGATGCAACAATCATAAATGTAGAAACCAAAGCAATAAAGGAAACTATTTAAGTTGGCCCATCATTTTTTCTTTGATCCACAAGCCTTTTCTTAACTCCAAAGAGCTGCTGCAGTGAAGTCTGTGATAAATTTGGATTTCAGTAATCTAAGCTGCCCTGGAGCTTTTAGCAGAATGGGACCATTAAATTCTACCCTTTCAATATGGGTCATTGACATTCATGTTTGGGGATTTATTTTTTTTATTCCTGCTCAATTTTTTTTTGTGACTTGTATAAAAGCAAAAAAAAAACTTGACAAACATGTGTTGCATGCTTTATTTTAAGATAACACAACATGGCTTTAATTTCTGCAACAGATGACTGAGGGAATACATTTTTTCCGCAATCAGATTACAGAAATGGGGATTAAACTGTACTTTTTTTTTTTTTTTTATTGTAAAGTATTAACTTTTGATATCTAGCCGCCCCCCACAAAAGTCTATCTTTTTGTCTGCCAACCTCATCAGCAGCCTCTGACAACTGCTGTAGAGCTTTTCAGTCCTCCCATGGCAGGTCACGCATCAGTTCTGGGTCACGGTCTCACTGGTTGCAATAGATGATCTCGATGCTCGCCATCAAACCACACTTGTCACTTGTTCCAAAAAAAAAAAAAAAAAAGGCTTTCTTTCTGAGCCCATTTGTCATGACCATAGTTGATTTGTGGAGAGACTCGGATTGTGCGCTCTCAGCTCAAATGTAATCTGTGCCAACATGAGCAGTGAGTGAACAATGTTCTTCAACATTCAGATTGTTTTTCCAGGGGTTTTCCTTCCAATCATCTCAGTAGCTTGAATGATGGTGGTATGATGAAACTGTGGTCAATATCCAGCTGAACAAATTTCACTTATAACATGGGCCCTCATTTGCTCTCATGGGTGTCAGAGCTGATGTAATGGGAATTTTTATGGGGAATGGTGCAATGCATGGGCAGGTCTCATTGGTTTCCCTGCCATGTCTATCAAATCCAATACTGCTTATTTCTTTGTATTTCAGAGGCCAGTAAGCTGGTGATGTCATACGTGGCGGCAGTGTGTGGGAAGGGCCAGGAGGTGAATAAGGTCAAGGAACAGCTGCTGCAGTCCAATCCTGTGCTGGAGGGTGAGTGACGACTTGAGCTGCCTCCCAGTTTTGAGTGTTGGATTCTGCAGTTTAGATTTGGACAAATCTGTGTCAACAGGCTGACCGGACGGCTGCACTTGAAGTGCAGCAGGGAAAAACGACTGAAATGGGGGAAATCTATGAATGTTTTCAGTGCAACGGACTAGTTACTTAAAGTGCAGCATTTAGCAGTTTATCAATATGGTTTTGACCTCCAAAAGTAACACCACTTTGAAAATATACTTTTTTTTTGTTTTTTTATGCAAGTAATACTTGACTATTCAACACATCAGTCGCATAAACTAAAAATATTAGGCCATTAGTAGTCCTATGAATCTTTTTTTTTTGTTTTTTTTTACTAGCCAGTACACTACTCCCACTGTCATATTCATTCCTGCAGCTCAGTGCTGGCACAGAAACAGCTGTTTTTTAATTGGGGGGGCAGTGGACAGGAAATGCCCATGAATGGTGAAGCTGTAAGGTAGACTTGTTGGTGGAAAACCCTGCACATCTGTGAGAGCTTAGCGACTTCCAATCTTAACTGCCCCAGCACTAAAAAGAAGCAAAATGAGGGGGACCTGCTCATTCAGCTGAACACAATGGATCCATCATGCCTTGCACCTCTGCTTCATTTTCTCTTTTAATTTTCTTCTTTGTGATCCTCTATTCTATTCACTGTGCCCTGTTTTGTCTTTAGATTTGTATCTAAAATATCTGATGCTCTTATTTTCTGCTTTCCACCCCCTCTGGCTGCTGTTGTTCCAGACTAGCAGCCCACACGTTCACACAATCCAAATACTTAACACACATTAATCAGCTGTTATCAGTAATTAAGCTGTTATGCTAATGTCTCTGATATGTGATGCACTCACATCATTTTAAAGTGAAAATGTGGTTTTAAGCAAATAAAAAATGTTGCACAAAATACTCTTTTAGATGGCTTACTGATGCAGATGACAAATACATTTAATCAGTTCCTTCAAAACATTTTTTGTTTATACACAAGGGCACATGGAATCACTTTGCCTTCATTGTGGCATGGCATCAAGGTTTAGCCCTTCCTAAGCCGCTGCTGCTTTTCCTAATCCATACAGAATTATGGGACGTCATTGGTACAAATGGATTTTTTTTTTTTGATTGACAGCTGGCTGAAGTGCTGCACAATGTTAAACATTATTAGACTTATTTTTTTATCTCAACTGTACCTCCTTTTATTTATTTTTTTCCTGACTTAAATTTTTTTTGTCAACATTCTTGTTTTTTTTTTTTTTTCCTTAAGCATTTGGAAACGCCAAAACCGTACGCAATGACAACTCTTCAAGATTTGTAAGTATCCAAAACCTGGGTTTTTGTTCTACAAAATGGTGGTTTTCAGATTTCTTTGCTCAGTCATTATGCAAAACGAGTAATTGTTGTTTGTATTTTCCCTTTGTTTCATTTTTCAAAATTAACTTGGTGTTCATGAATCTTATTTCCTTTGTCATTTACAGTTTCACTGCAACACACTCGTGGAATTTTGTCTGTTCGTAAACTGAACTTGAGCTTCCCAAACTGAATCCATTGTCACAAAATGATACCTCTGGATCAACAGCAAAAGCAAAAGTCACTTTTTTTTTTTTTTTTTTTTTTTTTTTTTCTTAAATCAAGTTCACACTGAAATATTTAACCCACACTAAATCACTGCTTTGATAATCACTGAAAATGGATGCATTAGATGCATACCATTTTAGAGGTGTACAATGTTTTGAGACTGTAAAGCTGAGCAAGGCCTCTCGGCCTGTTGAATCTTTCTGCTCTCATAGTGATTATGTATTGGATCTGCAGAGTATAGCAGCCTACAACGTTTCAGCGCAAAAAAATAAACTGTCCAGATGACCTGACTGAAAAATGTTGGATTGTATACCTGGATTATTGAGCATGAACTTTGCTGCAGCCTACATAGTGTTTCAGCTACAGCACTGTTTTTGCTCTTCGTATATTAAACTTGCACATAATGTATAGCCTTGGTAAATGCGCTGTACTCTGATTTAACAAGGTCACTTTACAAACGTTGTTTCATTAAATGATGCAGAATGCAACTCATGAATACAAAGCACAGGAAAAAAAAAAGAAAAAAAAAAGCAAAGTATCATTTGCCAAGATATTTGGTTAGGCAAGTTTTATGCATTTTTGTATACATTACATTTATTTTTGCTAGTCTGAATTGGCTGGGAGTGTTTGTTTTTTTTTTTTTTTTTTGTTTTTTGTTTTTTAAATGAGGATGCATGACCAGTTGCAAACAGATGCCACGTAAATGGCATCATGGGAAAAATAGACTACTTTTTTTTTTTTTTTAAATAAAGGGTAAAAAATCCAGACAAGTTCCCAGGCAATGACCTCATCAAAGGGGATTACTATGGTATTAATTTTCCTGATAAAACATTATCACACTAGCAGGGTGTGTATGTACAGAAAGGCATGTTGCATCCTTTTTTTTTTAAATTTAAAACGACATTCATATGAACTTGCAGTTCTCATAATATTGCTCACATAGACTTATTCAAAAGCAATTTCTTAGTCATTTACATAGTTTTCTTAACATCCAAAACTTTTTGTTGTTGTTGTTGTTCCTCCTTCCCTGATGCAGCATGATTCATCGTTTCTTTTGTATTCTTCTAAGTTGAAATGAAAACTGGTTTATCCACAAAGAACCAGCTTGCAGGCCAACATGCGTTCCACTTTCACGTCTTTACACTTTTTTTTTCCATTCATATTTCTACCTTTACCATCTACCGACTCCAGTACTTAGACATGCAGTTAAAAGATTTTGGTGGAATCTAGTTCCAATCTGGCTATTTTTAGGTGACCTTGACATCTGCCAGAAAGCTCAGCTCTTCTTACCCAGACTCCACCTTATTAAAGCTCAATCACTTTATCATAAAATTCTGAATGGAGCCGCCACTTCATTTTGTTGAGTGTGTAGGGATTATTGAGTTTGGCTAGAAACCGCTCACCAGCAGTGCTTGGCCTCATCCAGTGACCTGTCTGCTAATAATAAATCAGAGGAGAACGGGAGGGAAAAAGATCAAACACACAAGACTCACTGTTCCGTCTACTTTAAAGAGAAAAGGGACCCAAAATAGTTTTTATTTATTTATTTTTTTTTTTTCAGAATGAACTTGATATTTGTAACTTGAATTACTTTACAGAATATCTCAGCCTGAACTCCTGAGCTGGGTTTTTCTTTGGGGGGGAACAAAGAACACCTGATAAAAGGCAGAACATAAAAGTTTACATCTTAACTGTTGCACTCTGACCCTCAGGGGAAGTACATGGACATTGAGTTTGACTTCAAAGGAGATCCACTGGGTGGAGTCATCAGCAACTGTGAGTAATACTTTAATTTTGAGAAGTATTGTGTAATATATGGTAATAAATTATTGTACTTTACTCTTACTGATTTATAATCACTGCATCTTGTTTCAGCTCTTACTAGGCTGTTGTGCTGTTTGCTTACACAGTTCGTTTGAAACATTTAGGCATGCACATTTGAACTTGCACCATTAGTAACATACACTCACTGTCTAAATTAAAGTTCGTATTTTAGTGTTGGCTGAAACGGTTCAAATTTGATTGTTCAAAACTGGCTTTTCATTTTATGGCTTATTTTTGTGTGCACAACTTGCACCATTGTAATTTTAGTTATTCAGATTGTTTGCTGCCCACCAGCCCACACCGTACCCACCTCTGCTGGCTTGCACTCATTTAGGCTGCCACCCCCATGTTTGATTTATTCTACTAGTGCTTTTTTACAATGAAATCAGATTTGGGCCAGTTTTTCAATACTTATCACTGATACGATTTTTAGAGCTGGACAGTACCCTCTGTTTTCTGTTGGAGGACGGCTCCCTTTCGTTTTGTCAAAATACAGCTCGGGAACAATTGGGATGGGCTGCTGATATCTGCTACAATTCTGTTGAGTGAAAATTTGCCTCATAAAATTTAAGCGGTTAACCCCATGGAGGTTTTGAAACCTTTTGGAGACTGTCACAGCCCACAGAGATGCTTGTCTTGTCAGTCACAAGACTTGGTGTAACAAGGTGGTGCTGGTGCGAAACTTCAAATTTGTCTAAAATCCCAAAATATGTTTAATACTCATCAACTCTTTGCTGTCTTAATCTACATTTTGTTTACAAATATTATTTAAACTTTCCTTTGAATCTTTTCGGAAACATTTTGTATGATGTAAAATTAGACTGAACAAAACCTTCAATCCCATTGCTGACGTTCTCTCCCTCCAGATTTTGCTTTCCTGTTTTGATATGATCTTGCTTCTGTTTCTGTGGCCTCTGGCGGGGTAGCTGATCTAGACAAAACATTATTCACAAAGACTGAAGCCCATGGCCTAGACACAAATGAAGCTCTGTTTGCTCTCCTGAGTCACTCAGACACCAGCGTCCGTCTGTCAAGTAGGGCCACTGTCCTGTGCCTCATTCAGCAAGTTGACTTCCCCAGAAAGTAAGACAGATGTGAACACTGCAACAATGCAGATTAGGATAAATTGTTTTATTTGCAGCTTATCGTTTTCCTGTGTAAACCTCTGAAGCTCCAGATGACAATACCCCAGAATTATTGATTTGGCTATTTAAAATCCTATACCAAAACATGTGGTTATAGTAGTAGAAAGACATGGGTAACTTTTTAGCTAAAATGACAGAAAACATCTCCATATTTGGAAATGTAAATGGACATTAATACATTATAGGAAGCATGTTGTCAGTAAGACACTTAAGTGTTTGCTTGTTTTTGCAAAAGCCAGATGTCCAATATTATGCACTCAACTGATTGAGTCCCTTTTAGCACCACTGGAGCTTTAACTGCCTTTGTTTTTCAATGTTTGCCATTTTAGTATCAAAACCTTTCTACTGCATGTTAAGGTAAAGAGAAATGCACTGAAATGTAAAAAGTGACTCTTCAGTGGTTTCTCCTCTCTGTACGTCTTTGATTATAGTTCCATGTCACTGCTGCCAGTCTCTCGGTCATGGATGTATTATTGATGGGCTTGCTCCTAAGTGCCACTTATGCGATTCATGGACAGTGGGTGTCAGAGAATCCCATTTAGCCGGATCCACATCAAACCCTCACATCTTCACATCTGTCTGCATGGCTTGATAATACACATTTTGCAGAATATCTGTGATTTGTATTGCAAACTATCACTTCTGTCTGCGCACACCAACATGAGTCAGTTTAGTCTAAATATTGGAACAGTTTTTTTTGTGCGTTTTCCCCTCAGGGCTGGAAACTCAATCATGGTTGCAATGGTATTTCATGTGGGTGATTCTCTAAAACACAGGAAAGAGTGTAATATAAACTTATAAGTTTCCTAAAATGAAGAAAAGGTTTCTAAAAAGGCAAATTAAGCTTCTGTTCAGTTCAACTAACAGTAAAGCGGCTCTGACACTTAATGTAACGCAGCGACTGGACGAGGCACTTCTTTACTCAAAGTACTTTTGCACTTGGTCAGAAACCCAAGAAAACGATGAGCCTGGTGTTTTTCCCTTCTTGCACATCGTGTTTGCACACATGTGCAACATTTGGTTCTTTTGGCAGCATAAATGAATCAACTGACAACCTTTCAACCTGTGTCAGTCCTCCTTGCTCTTTGTGTGGACAGCTACATATTGCCAGTCAGGCACCTCTGGGGATATTTTTATTTATTTTCCTCTGTAAAACCGTTTAAGTATCCATGTATCACAATTTCCTTTTTTTATCTTTAGATCTGCTGGAGAAGTCCCGTGTGGTGAAACAGCCAAGAGGCGAGAGGAACTTCCACATATTTTACCAGCTCTTATCCGGAGCCTCAGATGATACGCTCAGTACGTTCTATAAATACTAAATTACTCATCTATGCAATTTATTTTAAAATGTTTTGGGAAATGAATAGCTGTATTTAAAGGGTCTAGTCTTTTTTTTTATTTTTTTATTTTTATTTTTTTAAAGTGCTGTTTTGTCAAATGGGTAACAATAGATAAACTTATCAGTTGTGACAGCAGTCATAGAGCAAAAAAGCCTTTATCCAAGCTAGGCTAATGGCTAAACCAGTGCTCGTTTCTCATTTTTTTGTATTATCAGAAAATGCTTTTCTCAAATGTCATGTCTGAAAGAACACTTGGCTTAGTTTCAAAAGTATACATTAACATAGATTGTATATACATATATTGGCACCCTTACAACAGATTAAACGGTCTATGCTCAGCTTGTGCATCTGTGTAGTAACATGGACATGCTTGGTTGAGTAAACCGCATCAAACTAATGGTGTCATGCAAAAGTCTAGAAGTTTAATAGCAGCCTATGTAAAGTACTTTCACATCAGTGTTTCTGGGAGACTTCAAGCCTGAGAATTGACAAAAAAGCCAATGTTTAGTTAGCCATTAGCTTAGCTTTGTTTTGAAGATGACCCTTTTCTTCATCCTCGTTGCTCTGACGAGTCAGAGCAACACATTACTTCAAAAAGGATCAGCATCCCTTTAAATGCTTCCAAATTTGAGAACGGTTTGTTTGAAATGCATAAAAAATAACTTTATATACATTTGAACTGTGTTCTAGTTGTAAGTCCCATTTGTTTTTAATTTTAAATTATAAAAATAAGCACATCTAACAAGTAGCAGTGAGCCTAACCATATAACTGAGGAAAACCATGGTGAATGAGAAACCAGGCTCCTAATTATTTTAAGATGGTGAACATGACGGTAGTAACCATTGTGTCGTTGCTCATTAAAAATCTTGTGTAAACTTGTCCTGCAGCAGGTCTGCAGCTGCAGGAACACATGGCATACACATTTATGACTTAATCTTCCTGCCTAACAAACACTACAGAGGACAAAGCCAGGCAATCAAACGTGTCCCCTTTATTTACCTCCGTGCACAGAAGGCATTGTTTTGTGTCCTGAACACGGTTAAACAATATAATGGTCATCGACCCCTAGAGTACACACTTCAGAGGGGGTGGGTTCAGCTGTAGTTGATGCAACCAGTAATGAAATCTGACACGTGCGCCCATAAGAGGAATAGATTTTTTACTTTTTAAAGGGGCTTTTACGTGTGGAATTTGAGCTTGTAGAAAATTGTTCACAGCCCCATAACTCATTTGTGCAAACATTGCTCCCCTTAAAAAAAAAAAAAAAATAGTACAATGTTTTTAGGGGTTTTAAGCAAAATCACTAGGCTATATATTATATCAGTGCCTCTTGGCTCTGGGTGCAAAGGTGTGTAACGTATGAAAATAAGGTGGTTCACCTGTTTACTAAATATACTTGGAGCAAATGCAGATTAAAAAGCAACTGCATGGTGTTTGTTGCAGAAAAGCTCAAGCTGGACCGGGACTTCAGCAAGTACAACTATCTGAGTCTGGACTCGGCCGCGGTCAGCGGGCTGGACGATGCAGCAAACTTCAGGACTGTCAGAGTGAGTTGTACAAGCATACACCCTGCATGTTTCCATTACCTCTGGTAACCGCATGGACATGAACTCTATTTTGGGCTCAAAAACCAAACAGTCGCACACTCTAATCGCAAGCTGCACCACGCTGCAGCAACTTTCAGCATCAACGTTCCTTTGACTGGATCGTGTCATGTTACTGTGGTAATCTTATTTTTTTTATTTTATTTTTTTAAATCCCCTGGACAGAAAAGTTTGTAAAATGTTTTATTATTAAAACAACTCAACCCTTATTGCAAAACCAGGTTAACTATTAATTTGGCCTTAAATTGAAAACAAAAGCTGGTTTTAAATAAAACTTGGAATCTTTCCTGTGCATTGACCAACATTTAAGCAATAATCTAATTTCAATAGTCTTCCCTGCACTTGGGCATGTCTGTGCACATATGTAACATCCTGCATGTTTTTGTTTGTCTTTGTTTTCTCTAATTCTCACTGAATGAGACGGAGGATGTTGTCTGCTGCACTGCAGTGCTTGAATCCTGTTCCAGCATGCTTTTCTCAGCTGCTGTATAAGTCTTGGCAGTCTGATCTGTCGCTCTCTACTGTACTTGTTTCCCTGCTTTTCACATCCTGCTTCTCATTAGCTTGAAGCATCCCCCCACGCAGCTGTGTCTCACCACAGGAAACATGGTGGGACAGTCTCTACCACTTTGTTCCCTGTAGCAATTCAAGAAGCTATTCTGCCTTGAACATGTTTTTAATGTATTTAAAACTTTTATTTAATTATAAGTAAATCAAATCACTTCCTGTTTGGTGAACTTATAAATGGTAGGGATGCACAATATTGGGTTTTTGTCAGATATGTAACTTATTTGGCCGATAGCAGATATGGATACCAATATTTTTATGTACTTATCAGAACATAGCTCTCTTATTTAGACTTATTTGCTACAAAATTGTGTAACAGCTGGTGATGTATATTCACAGTAACAGCCATATATGCATAGCACTTTTAACTTGTGTGAAATGTTATTTATTGGCATTAGTCACCTGCGATACTGTCTCACTTGTGGAGGCTTGTTCCGGTTCCAAGCTGCAGTGTGGGATCCTCTGCACACTTGTGCATGAAGGACAGCCATTTTAAGTTCAAAGTGTTTGTCTATTCATTGTGCCGTAAGACTATTCATGCTAACGGGGCTAATATGACGTCCAAACAACTGTGGTAACTCACTCAAGTGCTATCGGCTAGTAGCTTCTCAATGATGTTGGAAATGACAGCTTGTAACTCTATTAAGGCTATGTCGGAAAAATATATCTGACTGGGGATAATGTAGCGTGGCTCAGTGTAGTCCAAAAATCTTGAGAATCTGACATCCTCAACTGGGGGAAAAAAAAACCTTCCACACCGCCGACATTTCGACTTCTTGCCCTCTACTGTGATCAGATCAGGTAGGCGCGTGTGATGTCATCATGTTGTGCTGCCGCTGCAGGCAGCCTTGTCACTGGGTTGTCGTACAAAAACGGTGCCTTTGTATGTTGTTTTGATGTAATTTTCGATGTTGAACTTTAACGCCATAATCTAACGATACCATGCCAAGAATAATTGCGCATCCCTAATTAATACTAGTTTTCTTTTTTTGATTCAAGAGTTTTTTGGATAAACAAATCAATTGAACAGTTCTGATTGTTCCACACTCGGAGACTGACAAATGTAGGTTTAAATTAGGCTGAGATTCTGTGAAGGGACGCCTGCCGTTATCCACTCCTTTTATGCTAGAGGGTCCAAGTAAATATCTTATACCAAGAAGGGACATCATTATAGCGGTTATGCACAATGTCTTGCAATTTTTATGATCTTGAGATTCACAGATTGAGGATGACTCTCGGCTGTTATTGCCAATCTCAGTCTTTAGCTCACTGTCAGGAAAAGCAAAATTTGCTACAACTCTGCTAGTTTTACAAAGTGGTGACCATCTTGAATTGGATTGGCTCCAGAAATTAAAGTTGCAGAAGTTGCAATTTGAGAGGTTCCTTAATATTTAGTTCATGAGACATTTTGAAATGGACATGGTTAACTTACTAGTTATTACTTGCAAAGTTCTAATTTATTACAAATATTTAGTGTCTTGAGTATTAATGCACCAAATTTTAGCTTTTTTTTTTATTTTATTTTTATTAAAATTGACTGAGTCATAGCTATTTGTTTACAAAGGCCACTTTGGCAGCCATCTTGAATCAACTCCAGTAGTTATTCTGGTTTAGATGTACATCCAATGATTTATTTTAAGTTTCATTAAACCTCAAAGTAGTGTTTGAAGCTCCTTGTAAAGAAGTCTCGTCAAACATAAGCAAGACACAGCTTTGATGGAAAACTATATTAATGAATTTTTATAGCAGTTGCTTGTTTGCAGTCACCATTTATCAGTTTTGCATGTATTGCTTTTTGTTCTGCAGCTGTTGTCCTGTTTTCTACAAACATTTGTCAAGTCATGGCTTGTGTTTTTCATGTTTACTCCTCCACAGAATGCCATGCAAATCGTGGGCTTTATGGAAAATGAAATGCAGTCAGTGTTGGAGCTGGTAGCAGCCGTGTTGAAGCTCGGCAATATTGAGTTCAAACCAGAGTTGCGCTGCAACGGCATTGACGAGAGTCGTGTTAAGGACAAAAATGGTAAATTTAGCACCTTTACACGTGTTTTTAATAAGTTTTAGGCTAATTGCATCCATTTGTTGTATTTTTGTCTTTGATTATTTTATAAATTTCAGACTTTCTGGTCACATCTTGGTCCTGTCTAAAGCTACAATTCCTTGTTGGCTATTTTAATTTTGTGATGTGGCTCACTGTAAATTTATGTTGGACAAACTATGATTAATCATTCCTACAGTTGTTGTTCTTTAGGCAAATTTATTTTACGTATTTCCATGACAACAGCAATTTCTTGCTGTAGGTTACTGCCATTTAATATAGCCTTTAAATATTGTAAAATTACATAACATTTCACTCAGATTTTTGACTTTATAATTGCTTACTGTATATTTTCCCTTTGGTCACAGTTCATGTTCAGTATACACGTCTTAAACAATTCCATCTGTTAGTTTCACCTGTTTGCAGTCCTTGAGTTATTATTCAGCTGCAATATTTTGTACATAAATACAAAAGATCCTTAGACCTGTGTTTAATTCTGCTGTTAATTCACTGTAGCCCTGGCAGAAATGGTAGTTGGCAAATGTTTCCTTTTCTTGTCCTTGCAGATTTGAAGGAAATGTGTGAGCTCCTGGGAATTGAACAGTCTGTGCTGGAGAGAGCCTTCAGCTACCGAACGGTTGAGGCCAAGATGGAGAAAGTTTCCACCACCCTGAATGTGGCCCAGGTCAGAAAGTTACAACTCTGCCGCAAACCAGTTCAAACTGCTTATTTTATTTCTACCTGTTAGTCTGCATACACACACACTTTGAATTGGTGCAAAGAAAAACGAGTCGTTTCTTTCCATTAACTCGCTCTAGCGACTGTCAACTTCAGTTCACGTCAATGCTACATGAAAATATCTGCATTATAAATGAACAGTCATCCTCCTGGAAAATCAAATGTAGGTCACATTTGAGAGGTTAGGAAGTTCATTCAAAAGTGGTCACACAACATGAAGGCTACTGAAATGTCTGTCCAAAAAAAAAAAAAAAAAAAACCTGACATGGTAAAAACCTTCATGTTTGATCTCAGTTGGTTGGTTTAGTCCTAGCACTAAAATATTGTTTAAGTTGCGCTTTTTTATATATTGGTTCTGCAAATGGTGGGGAATAAAGGCTGTATTTTATACAAGTTGCTTAATTTTCACACTTAATGTGTGTTTTCACAGGCCTACTATGCCCGAGATGCCCTTGCCAAAAATCTCTATAGTCGCCTGTTCAGCTGGTTAATTACCAGGATCAACGAGACCATAAGAGTAAGTAATTATCATTAGTAATCCTAATTATTTCAGTCTGGTTTTATTAAAAAAAAATGGCAAACTGGTATTAACTTTTGTGATTTCTTGTTCTGAATTTGTTTACCTGCAGGCACAAGCTAAAACTCGCCACAAGGTTATGGGTGTGCTGGACATTTATGGCTTTGAAATTTTTGAGGTAAGGGACTTGGCCGATCAAACAATCTCTATTTCTTGATGAGCCACAAGGACAAACTTAAAAAAAAAAAAATAATAATAAATAAAACAACCCTAAACTCGAAAGGATTTGCCTCGAGCCATTTGCTTGCCTAGCACCTGAGCTTATCCACAAGAAAACCGCACTGAGCTCTGATTAGATCAGCTCGTTAGCCCCCTGGGGTGTAATGATTTTCGTTGCAAATTTTACAGATGGGAAATGGCCACACTCTAAATTTAGCTTTTCATGGGAGGGGAAAGAACTTGTTTTACTACATATATGAAGTAAATTATTACACGGTGGATGTTTTCAAGCTGTAATGGGTAAGGATTTGCATGGGAATGTTTTTGTTTGCTACATAAGTTTTTTTTTTTTTACTTGATGTCTACACACACGTCCTTATGTTCATGTTTTCATATCCCTGCTTGTTCATTTCACCCGCACTCAAGTGTCTCCCCTCTTCTCACTGTCTTTGTGTTGTTCCTGGCTCATCAGGATGGCGTAAGTAACACCTGCACTAGCCCAATTGCTGTGCCAGTTTGCATGTTGTTTTTTTCTTTAGATGCAACTCATTTAATTGCTTCTCGTGTGTCACACAGCTGAAAAAGGCAAAAGGAGCCTCTGCAACATCAAAATAAGATCCCGCTCTTATATTTTTGCTTCGGTACAGCTATCCAAAAATTTACCATAATGCCACAAATTTGTAAGAGGTATTATTATTATTTTCCTAAATCTAAAGGTTTATCTTTTTATATGGTTCATTCTTTTCAGTATCTTATGTATTTATTTAACTATTAAATTATACTTCTAGTACTTCAACCCAAATTATGCAGTAATATTCTGAGTATATATTTTTAGTATTACTGCATACTTTTATTTAGGTCTAATAAGCAGACCGTGATGAGTATTTATGCTATGTGAGAATATATTGTTTGTAGTTTTTAAACGGTTATAAGTGGAAGCTGAAGGGTTTCTGTTGAGCTTAAAAGCTTGGATTCCACCCATACCTACCTGTAAATTAAACTCGAAGGCTACTATTATAACTGACTTACTGCTATAACACTTGAACAGTTCATGTTTGTCAGTCTTGCAAAAAAGTCAAAGCCATACTTAAGTTGCACAACGTGTATAGAATTGGGACAACTTATTGAAATGTCATAATTATCTTACAACTGAAGTCATTAACATTCATTCATTCATTCATTCACTTAACCTTTTATTTATACAGGCTAGTCTCATTGAGCCACGAGGACTCGTTTACAAGAGGGACCTGTTCCAGACAGAACATATAAAGTACAGACAGCAATAAAAATAAACTACAGTAAAAATGCAGTTAAAATAAAAGTAGTTAAAACAATTAAATCAGGGTGCCATAACGGGTACAATGCTAAAAACGTATTTAGATTTTTTTCAAAGTATTAGTGATGATCCTATCATGTTGCAATAAAAAAAATAAAAAAATAAAAACACTAAGGATGGTCGTAATGTTTTTAACACTGTTTCTGATGAATCCATACCAAAATGAGGATTTGAGTTATTTCTGGTTTCGTCTTTTAACAGACAAGAACAAACACGGGGCATCTTTAATATTGAATCTCAGCCCTAATAATATAGTACTGGCAAAACAAACGTGAGCAGAAATCCCACTAATATTCTTGTTTAAATTTTAGAAAAAAAGAACTCCGTAAACATCCGGTAATGTAGCTGCATGCGAAGTGTTGCAAGACACCTTTTTTCTTTTTGCCCCTCTTTGATTTTAATTTGTAATACAGACTTTTCCATACGCTAGGTAAAGTGAACTGTCACCTCTGTAAAAGGAGGCTATTGACCTCAAAAGCACATTTAAGATGGTTACCATCTTAATCTCTTACAGCTTGTTAAAAGTTGTAGCAACTACAGTATATTCTTCTACATGTTTCAACCTGGTGTTTGCAGCCAGTGTGGAAGAAACATGCTTCAGTTTGCCTGTGTGTTTTTTAGGTGTGAAGACAATAATTTGGTTTCTTGTTGGAAGGAAATGGGCTTTCACAATTCAAAGCGAACTACATGTAGCAATTTGTCCCATTATTTTTCCTGTGTACTAAGAAACCCTGTGTCCTTTAACTCCTGCTTCAAAACTAACCACACTTTTGTTTTTAGCAAATGCATATTAACCAGTGTCTAATAAAATCTTGCAGAGAAGTATGACTCACCACATAATGGTCATAATTGACCATGTTTATAATTCAGTGTATCAGGTGTAAATGCTGTTATGGTTATCAACCCATCTACTGGTAAAGGAAGTCATAATGCAGGAATTTGTGCTTAAAGATTATCTAATGCTGTGAACTGTTGGGGCTTCTAGGTTGTGAAGCCGTTTCTTTGACCACTGATGAATGTAATTCTGAGATTTACTTCCTTTTAATATTATTTCATAAAATGTGTTATTTATCAGTATGCATTTACACTGTTGAAGCCTTTTTTTTTTCTTAATAATGGTAAATGAAACTTGATGATTTATTTATTTTTTTGTACCAGATTGTTTCTAAAGTGCAGTATAAAACTCAGCAGTTTCCCTTTTAATCAAGGGAAGATGTATTTCCC